ACAAGGAAGTGTAACAATATTTGTCAAAATATTTGTCCTTTGATCCTACCTTATATATATATATATATATATATAGGATTAGGTGTGCGGCCCACTCTACATCGAATTTCAACGATCTGAACCGTCTATTTTGTAAGTCTCAATTTATAGATCATCCTTACAAAAATTCAATTCAATCCGTGAAACCGTTTGCCTATTTAATTATCAAGATAAAATTTAATTATTTCTTAGATAACAAAGTATTCGTTTATTTCTTTAAACCCAATTAGATGTATTACACATTTCAGATTTGGCTAATATTTTGCAAGGATGATCTATGAGGTGCAACTTGAAAAATAGATGTTCAGATCGTTAAAGTTCGATGTAGTGTGGACCCCACAACTAATCCTCATTTAAAAAAAAAATAGGGATCCCTTCCCTTAAAGATTTCCTATATATATATATATATATATATATATAATATCACTACTACAAAAAACACTTTGCACGACGAAATTTTTGTCGCGAAAGCTCGTGAAGATAGGGTTTGTGCGACGAAAATTAACCTTCGTCGCGCAAAGTTTTTTGGTTTTTAATTTTTTAATTTAATTAAATTATATTTTGGGCGATGAAATATTTTGTTACGCAGGTTTTTGACTTTTTGTTTTATTATTTCTCTTATTTTAATTTAATTATATTAATTATTTGGGCGACAAAATATTTGGCATTGCAAGATTTTTCGAATTTTTAACCTTTTTAATTTAATTTAATTGTATGACTAATTTTTAATTACTTTAATTTAAATTGACATATTCAAAATAAAATTACATATGAAATATTAATATTCGTCACACAAAGTTTAAAAAAAAATAAAAAAGAAAATAATTTTATTTTACAATTTAAAATAAATTAAAATAAATAGGTTTAGGCCACAAAATGTTGATTTGTCGCATAAAGAAAATAGTTTAGTTTAACAATATAAAATAAAAAGTAAGTAAATAGGGTTTAGACGACGAAATATTAACATTCGTCGCGCAAAGTTTTTAAAAAATAATAAAAACTATGAAAATAACTATACTTTAAAATTTATAATATAAATTGGTTTAGGCGACGGAATATTTGAATTTTGTAGCGCAAAGGTTTTAATTTTTTTTTTAAAGACTTTATGCGACGATATGTGTTTCATCACACGAAGGGTTTTTTAAGTATTCATTTTTTTCACTTTAAACGACATGTACACTCTACTCATAATATATTGCTAGCTCGTAGACTAATTTGAAAAAATTTCCCTAATCCAATCCAACAAATTATTTGTATCTGCATCTGTTTGTCAATAAAAACATTAACTTCCTAGTTATAATACACGATTAAACAATCTGAGGGCCACTCGAGGGCCATTAAGTAGAGAAATTTATGAATGTGACCGTAACATAGATGAACAATGACATGTAGATAGCTAGATATATAATTACCTAACTATTCAGCTTTAATTAATGTTCAGAAATTTGAATTTCTTCCAAATTATTTTCAGCGCACCATTGTGTAGTGCTACGTCTACATAGGGCAAAAAAGTACGAGGCTGTGAAAAAGTATGTTGTTTGGATCGACCGACATCCATTTGACAATATCCCGGTTTTTTAAAAGCACGTAATTTCTTTAATTACCAAGATGTTCCAGTATGTTGTTTGGTAGAAGTCAAAAGCACCAAGATGTTCCTGTATACTTCTTAATTTTCTTTAATTTCTCTTTTCTTGGAACCATGTGAACGTAACTTCTGCTGCCTTTTGCAACAATGTGGAAATTCAGTGAGAAGAAAGATCCACTTTCTAGAACATGGTTGGTAAGTTGGAAGTGACATCTTGAAGGAAATGGTTTTCTTTTTTCTTTCTTTTTTTCTTTCAATTTTTTAGGGATTTAACTGAGAAATACGATATAAATAAGTTGTAAGCTTTTGAACTTTCTGAACATCAATGGAGGAGCATCTTGACCCTTTATGCATGCCCATTTTTTGGTGCAGGCAGGCCATGGATGATGGCAAACTCTGCTGAGGAGCAAAGTAAATTGCCTCAATAATGTACTGACAATATTGTGGAATCATGTAAACTTTTATTCAAGAAAAATAAGATTGCCTCAATAAATGGGCGGGCTTCTCAGATACTCCCACATCCAGCTCACATCCTGAAGGTTCCAGCAGCTGAATACAACTACCAACAGCTCACCTGCCATTGGCAAGGAAATGTCAAAGCATTAAAGATAAAGATTAATTATCCAAATCCTATCTTTAATACATTCCCAATTGAATATTGACTCTAATCAAGTAAGTAATCCCAATTCAAATAAATTAGGGATAATTACATTATTATCTCAAGATATTATTTCTTATTTAATATCTTGAGAATATTTCTCCATAAACATCTGGCCAATAGGATGCCACCCTGTGTAGGGTAAAACCCTAACACTATGGCCTACCCGATCCCTATAAATACCCCATATTCTACCAAATTTTTAGAGCTTTTGCTACCTCTAAAAAGCCCTAAACACTTTACTCTATCAGAGAAACTGATTTAGGCATCGGAGATCGATTGGCCTAACCTCTCCCCCCCACCTCGTGGGCGCATGAGGCTTAGGTCTTTGCTCAAAGGTGTTGATTGTTTTGTAGGTGCATTTTCGTCAAGACTAAAGACGATAGAAATTTGCATCAACAAATTTGTGCTTTCATTGAGAGTTGATTCAAATACTCGAAGAAGCCTCTTGCATTTGTTTCTTGAATTTTATGTTACGTTGAATTTCTCACACGTCGTATCAATTAATTTTTCTTATAAAAGTTTCTTAAAGAAAGGATACAATGGTAGGAAATTCAGAAACTATGACGAACGGAACCCTGTACGTACAAGGATTTGGACCGGAGAATGGAGACGAGGATGTAGTCTGCTGGCTGGCTGGAAATGGCTAGCCTGCTGGCCTGATTTGGGGTTTGGGCTCGGTGGGGCCCACAAGCCATTTGGCCTAGCCTTCGGTTGGAGACGGTTTTCGTGTCATTCCAAGCTATTTTTAGCCCTATGGCCCTTTGGCCAGGTCGGTTGGAGATGGCCTAACTTGACCGATGGGGGACTTTTGGCCGGTATCCCACTAGTGCCAAGGTTGTTCACGATCGTTTGTTCTTTTACAGGTTGTTAAGTTTGTGCATCTCTTCTGCACACGATAGTGTACAAATTTAATTCTAACACATACCATTCAGTACTTGTAACATTTAATACTAAATAGTATGGAAGTGAAACCCGATCAAATGAAAATGAAGGGTGTCAAGAAAAGGTAATGTGTGTAACGAAAAGACTATGAGGATGAAGGAGTGAGGGAAAAGGAGGGGAAACATTGGATTATGACTTTTGTCTCCCAATATTCCATAGAGGTCCCCATCAAAATCAAACCCCCATCTTGTAGTGGAGGGCCCTTCTTGCACCATCTTCATGCATATATAAGCTCCTACATATTTAGTTGATTAACTATAATCAGAAAAAGAATAATTTCTATATATTTGTGTTATTTCTTACTATATTAGTACTCCACCCAACAAAAAAAAGAATTCACCCCTATGTATTAATCTCTCATCTTACCGCCTATTTTTTTGCATAAATAATCTTTAAATAATGATTAATAAAATTAAAAATGATTAAAACATTTGTGCAATTTAAATAATAAACGACATGAAATTACGTCAATCACAACTAAGTGCACGTTTAGTTACCATGAGAATAAACGTGGATGTGACAGAATATGTATGAGATAAACAACCACACTTTAATAATTACATACCTTAAGTTTCCAAGTATGAGAAGGTACGAGATACGCAAATTCACTTATTATTTTCATTTTTTGATTGGACATTCTGTGCAAATTATTGATTATTAGTAAACACATGAATGAGAATACTACACAATTTTTATTATTAGTAAACACATGAAAAAGAACGATATTCATTTCCTATAAATTTGTTCCTTACAAAAAAAAAATGCCCTAAATGCATAAGAATGGACACCCCTTGGATGGACGCAATTTTTGTTTTTTTTTAATTGATGTTTCTTCCGTTTTTCAAGAACAATTTTAAAATAAAAAAAAAATTATAAAACAAAGTTAAAGTTTTAATAAAAAATAAAATCATGTATGCCACTACTATTGTCGTCATTGCCACCACCTCCTCATTCTCCACAATCTCAACATCATAACCATCATGGCCACCATCTTTGATACTACCACCTCCCACCACCATTGTCACCACTGTATCCTCCACCTCTATCACCCTTGCCACATAGCCATCACCACCTCCATTGTCTGACAATCGCCACATCGATATTACAGCCACCATTTCACCATGACCACCACCACCACCTAAACCTCCACCACCATTGTCATCACCACTTCATTGTCTCACTGTTGCGGCTACCACCACTGCCACCGCCACCATCACAACCACCACCTTCCGCCATCATCGCCACCACCACCATTGCTACTCCACCTCATAACCCTCACCATCACTACCACCACCATTTTCACAACCATCAACATTACCCTCTACCCCTAGTGAGAACCATCAACATTACCCTCTACCCCTAGTGAGAACCTGTATCCCACGACTACTAATACCCCTAGTGTTGTCACAACTACTACCATTACTCCAATCACCATTGCTACCAACAACACTTTCGTCTCAACCATCATCCCACCACCACCGCCACCATTACTTCCAAATACAAATTTATATTTTTTTAGAACTTTAGTACTAGATACGTTTTTAGTGTTTTCATTCTCAAAATCATTTTCAGATTAAAATACCAGATGTATTTTCAAATCATTAAAATGCAAAATCTTATTTGTCATTCTCGTTTTACAAAAGAGTTTTTCAAAAAATCTTTTTGAATAATGTTAACGAACAGGCCCTAAGATTCCCTAAGATTCCATACCTTTTCATGTGTAGACAAGACATAGAAAAACTTGGGAATCTTGTAAAGATAAAACCGAGGGTATAGAACTGGAATAATACTGAATTATAACACTGGTGTAACATAACAAGTTATCATCACATCAACTTTCCCTTTCACTTTTTTCTTCCCCTTTTTCTACCTTAATTATAATTTTCAAAATATAATTTAAAGAAAATTATAACTAATAAATAAACTACAGAAAGCGTTCTTTTTATAACTTAAATTCACTACAAACTCATTTTACAAATTTTACTAAGAAAAAAGACGATTAATCAAAATAAAAAAGATTTCATTCATTCATTTCTTCCCCTGCAATGTTCTATCTTCTCTCAATCTTTCTTTCCCATCATCTTTTGCGTTTATGAGCTTCTTGCTTTCTGCTTGCATGAAACGCAAAAGCCAAAAGCCACTGTTGTTTGTTGGTCTCCACTCCTCTCAAAAGCATCTTCATAGCCCCAACAAAATGTAGTAAACAAGCGTTATGGGCAACGCAATCAACATTCCAAATATAACCCTGAAATTAATTATTTGAATCATTAATTAATTAGTGTCTAATTGGTAAAGAAAATAGTAAATAAAACTTACTTTAAAATAATTTATAATATTTACTTACCCCGTGCTGAGAATATCAGGGTGTACATTGTATTCCTTGGCAAAGACAAAGGGAACAATTCCTTGGGGTAGGGCTGCCTGTTATATTTTGTTTGGCAAAACAAAAACAAAAAAAAAAAACATGTTAAAAATGGCACAGATGTTTGTTGTGCAGTGTACATAAATTATACAGGTCCAAACAAGTCATTGTGTAATTACATAAATCATTTTTTTTTAATCATATACTGGGTTGGAGTTTGATTTTGTTTTTTTAGCTCAGAGTCTTTTGGCAGTGGAATTTCTCAGCCCATGTTCCTGAAAAGCAGTGTGATGCCATGATGATTTTATTTGAAAATAATTCACAAAACAAAAAAATTCAAATGAAAAATAATAAAAAAGATTATCTTTAAGCAAACAAAATAATTATAAAAGGAAAGCTTTTGGAGCATAGGTTAAGCTATGTGGGATTGCTTTGGTTGTGTCAGAAGGAGGCAGAAGAGGAAAAATATGGGGAGAGAAAGAGAGAGAAAGGGGGAGGGAGGGAGAGGGAGGTGACCTGTACAATGGCAACATGTAAGAGAGTGCCTCTTAAGCCAACAGCAATGGAAGCAGCTGCCATGACAGCTGGACCTGTAAGGAATCTCACAGCCATGGCAAAAGCTGCAACGGAGTTTCCACAAGCTATGATCTTTGGCTGCAAAGCCATAAACAAACCTGCAAAAAATATATCACATCAAAAAGCAGATTAGCAAAACAGCAGGCGGCAGCAGCAGCAACATAGCATCACAGACACCATGATCACCACCACCACCACTCGTCTGTCAGTCACAGTCGGTCATGTTTGAAAGGCAGAAAAGAGTGATGGACTTTTCATCATCACGAACACCAACCGACGACATCAAATCAAAAACCCTAGACAAACTCCTTGCTTGCTTTGCTTTTTTAAAAACATTAATAATTAAAGATGCTTATTAATAAAAAAAGTAATAAAAGGACACTGAAGAATCCCCGCTTTCTTAAAAATCACAATATGACACATATATAAAAATAACCATTATAATTACCAAGTACGATTTTTATGCACGCATAATAAATTGTGATTGGAAAAAATGCATGAAAGGTAAACAAAAGGAATTTCTAATACTAACCGAGGCTGAACATGGCCATGCCAAGTCCTGCATCAGATAGTATGGCGATGGACTTCGCTACAATGGCTGGCATTTGAACGTGCCACCTGCAAAAGAAATATAATTATTAAGAAAGAAAGAACAGAATCCCACTTCAACCAAATAGAAGATTGGATTGGACCGGACTAGACTGGACGGGATTACCTGAATGAGACTAGAGACCAAGTGAGGCCGATCAAGCTGGAGTAAGTGTTTGGGTTTCTAATGAGTTTTCTCCAAACCATGATGAGAATTAGCCTTGTCATCACACTTGTTGGAGGCATCACTTTGGCTTTTCCAATCCCATCCCCTCCTTTCTCAGCCTCATTGTTCATGTTCATCTGATCTCTGTTTCCAAATCTGAAATCTTCTCTCTCCAAATACTCTTCCTGATTCTCTCTCCTCCCCTCCACTGAATTAAAATCCAAAAAATTCCCACCGTTAATCAGTCAAATTAAACAAAAACCCATGTCACCAAAATAAGAAAAAATAACAGGAAAAATTCAAACTTTTTTTTTAGAAATATTTGAAGTTTGTACCTTTTCCTGGAGACACAGCCAATTTTACTTCTTTGTGATCATGGGCAGCACCACCGTATTCATTGCTTCCAAACACATCTGAAACAGGAGAAGCACTTGAGCTCCAAACAAACATATGAAGATCCTTCCCGCCATTGGTGTCCTCTGTTTTCTGAGCTTGCCCATTAGCTCTCTTTGCATTCATGGCATTGCTATTAGCATTAGCGGTGACGGTTCTGGACGCCGTCGGAGAAAACATCCCTGGGTTTGGGGCCGGGTAATGCGCCACTGCATTATTCTGTCCGCCGTGGTAAAACCGTGGCTTATTTCCAGTAGCGGAGCTGACAGCGCCGCCGCCACCGTCTTCCTCGAAATTTGATGGCCGTGGAGTCGGCCCTCTGGACGCAGACATCCCATAAACATCGTTAGCTCCGAAATTCGAGTTCCTTCCGGCAGCCATCATGGAGTAGAAGTCCGTGTGGTTGAAACTTGACCCTCTCGGCGTCGGATTTCTCGAAGACTGCAGGGAGTAAATCTCCGCATTAGTGAGATTCGACGGCCGCGGGGTGGTGGACGACAGCCCCTGAGATCGCCGCGATAAAATATCCGAGCGCGAAGCGTTTGATTTTCTGACAGTGACGTGGAGTTTGCCGTCCTCCTTGATCTCCGCTTCAGTCTCGAGGGGCTGTCTTCCGTCGAGCGACATAATATCGGAGTCGACGTGGATGGAGACAATGGATCCCGCAGTGTCGGGAAACTGCTCCGAGATGAGGAGTCTTGCTCCTCGGTATTCGAACATGAAAAGCATCAAAGTGTACCAGATAATGCACTGGAGGACGACGATCTGCACCATCAAACTCCCGGAAAAATCGCCGTACATTCCCTTGAGCAATGGGATTCCCATGACCAGAGTGTTGGGCAGAGTGGAGACGGAGAAGAGAGTGATCGTCCATTCCAGGCATCCCCTTTTGCTGACTTTGGTCCAGACGCCGAGGACGGCGAGGACGATGAGCTTCTGGAGGGTGTCGGCGGCAATGAAGCGGGTGTTCATGTTGTAAGGGTCGTTGGTGGAGATGAAGTGGAAGGAGAGGAGGGGGACGGCGAAGAGGGCGACGAAGCGGTTGATGCCGGAGCACTGGTCGGGGGTGAAGATCTTCCACCACTTCACGGAGCCGTAGGCCAAGATCATGGCCACGTAGAGCGGCACCACCGCCGTCATGACGTGGTAGAAGTCGGATAATGTAATCATCTTGGTGATTGGTGAAAACCGAAATCAGGAGAGTTAATTCTTATTGCTCTGTTTCTGGGGAGGTGAGGATTTGTGGAGGAAAGTAGTGGTGGAAGAAGGAGGAGGAAGGCGGTGGAGGTGGGGTTGATGATGAAAAGGGGAAGAGGAGGAGGAGAGCATGTGTGTTTTGGGATTATGGGGTGGTGTGTGTGGGCGGGTAATAAGCAGAAAGAATAGAGCTTTGAGAGTTGCGAGAGCAAGCTTGCACTTGCAGTCCCCAACACACACACTCAGCTTTTCAGGTCTCAGAAAGTATTTTGCTTTTTTATAATTTCAGTTTGTGTTTTTTACTTTTTTTTTTTTTTTTTTTTTTTTTTTTTTTTGTGGCGGGGAAAAAAGAAGAAGTGTAATTTGGGTTTAGGGTTAAGAAGGGATGGTATTTGATTACATATATGTAGAGTTGAGTTTCCTTGTAAGTTGGTGTGTGGCTCTATCTTGTACGGGTCTACTGGTTGCATAAAGTGGAGAAAAAGCATTTTGGCTAGAGGTGGCTGTGTCTCTAACTAGTTGTTTCTTTGTTTGGGGACCCTTTTAATCTATCAAAAGACCCTCTGCATCTTTCCTTATCCTCTCTTGTGGATGATCGATAAGAGCATTTCCAGCAGACTAGTTAATTTGTTTTCGAGTAAAAAACCGATCAATCTTTTATTTCACCTCGCAACATTTATTAGCTAAACTCCATTTTTATTAAGAAGCCTGTCTATCTTTTGCTCGGGTTAAGAGCATTTCTAGCAAACTAACTAAACTTCCTTTTGAGTTAGGAATCAATCGATCTTTGGCTCAAGTTAAGAATATTTTTAACAAACTAGTTAAACTCTCTTTTGAGTCAGGAATCGATCGATCTTTGACTCATGTCAAGAGTATTTTTAACACACTAGCTAAACTCTCTTTTGAGTGAGAAATCAATCGATCTTTGACTCATGTCAAGAGTATATCTAACAAACTAGTTAAAATTCATTATAAATAAACAATCATTCACTCTGAAAGTTTACTCAGAACGTCTCCATAAAACTAACTAAACTTACTTGGAAGTCAAAACACTCCTTCCATAAACTAGCTGTCAATGGACTTAAAATAACTGAAATTAGTTAAATCAAATTTATGAAATTAAATTAAAGGTACACAGAGTGTGTCATCAAATAGGAATACCACCATATTTCGTTTCATTACTTTTTTTTTTCTTTCTATTTTTGGTGGTTAACAATTAAGAAGATTGTGGCAAGTAAAAGTGCATTCGAATATAAAGTTGAGAAATGTCAAGGGAACTATTTTAAAAGTAAGATTCTTTATGAACTTTCTATCATCTCATGTTTAAAACATAAGGTTTTACAATATTAACACATAATTAACATTAAACTGTAAAATGTCATATAGTCCGTAAAGAGCCATATTTTTAAGAGTTCTGTTAGCATTCCTCGTATAAGGTTTGCATGTCTTAATCCATCAGTTTTGACATTGCACGCCAAAGCCCACGAATTATCTTCATGGGAAGAAGCGAGGATAATAGTGTTGATCACATGGATCCTAAATTGTCCACTCCTAAGCCATACCACATATTTGGCACGTCCAAACGCTTGCATGTCAATTGTTAGGTGGGATTAGACGCCAATCACAACTTAGAGGAAGACTACAATCCTAGCTATGCCATATGCCGTGCTATTTCATTTTGGACTTGTATATTTGTGTCCATGGAACAACATTATACACTCCACTCTCGTGTCTTCAGACTACCATAATATTTCTTCGCAATAATTCTATTTGGACATCCGATCACGTTTAATAATGGTTAGCTATATTATTGTAGATAAGAGCTACGCATGTTATTTTCTTGTGGTTAAATAGTACTACTCTTGTTAAACGACAATGAAGATCGGACAATACTTTCCTCTTTCCCAGTAAGGAGGTAAGATCTCCTTCCTCCTAACACGATATCATTTCATTACTGATGTCATAACCAGAACGGTTTATTATCTCTATTATACTTTAAAGATCATTTCCAGAAAAATTCATTTAATTTGAAGATTGTTTACTCATTCATCTTAATCAAAGAAATTGAATTCAGATTCTTTGCTACTGTCAAAACAGGACTAGTATTTTAGGATTTTTTGATATTTTATTATTTGTTTAATTCCTTTCCAATTTCAATTCTTAAGGTTTCCAGGGTTAAGTTACATAATAAATATGTCATATTGGCCTTAGGTTTGTATTCATTCATAATATTATCAATTAGAATTAGAGATATCTCTATTTTCTGGTGGATTCTGGATTGTTAATAGACTTCAGTTTATTCGCTAGTAAATTATAGCATGAAATTTTGTAACATCCCACATCACACATGGAAGTGGATCTTGTAAGCCTTATATGTATATTCTCATATCTACCTAGCACGAGGTCTTTTGGGAGCTCACTGGCTTCGGGTTCCATCGGAACTCCAAAGTTAAGCGAGTTCGCGCGAGAGCAATCCTTGGATTTGTGACCCACTGAGAAGTTCTCATATGAGTTCCCAGAAACAAAACTGTGAGGGTGTGGTCGAGGCCCAAAGCGGACAATATCGTGATACGGTGGAGTCGAGCCCGGGATATGGTGTGGTCCGTGCCAGGATGTGACAAATTTCGTTCAATTTCTCTTGTTATATATCTAGTTGCGTCAGTTCAACACGAGGATGCTACTTATTAAATCGATTTGTTTTACACATATGAATGGTCATATGAACTCTAATTCAAATTAATTTGTAAGGAATGAGTATTAGAAGATGGTAAAGGAAATCAACAATTTCAATGATGATGTTTACACGATAAAGCGATGACGCGATAGAAAAATGAGGAAAGTATTGTTCGTGAAAATATTATGCACACACATATGGAAGTTGTTAATCCTATATTATATTATTTGTAACACAAACGAATTGAACTACACTTTCATACTTGCGAAGATTAGTTGGAGAAATATTGTTGAGGTTATCAAAAGAAGTGCTTTGAGGCTTTTGGAATATACTGGCATTGAGTTTTACCTTTCTGCTGTTTACGCCTAGCTAAAAGTAGAAAAGCACTCTCTCTTTTTCTTTCTACGATGCTAACCAAACGCTGTCTTATTATTCTCTCTTAAAAAATAAGGAGAAATGCTTAGGAAACTTTTTTAGAGCAAGATTCTTTGTGGATTCTCTGACTTTAACATCAATTTCATATCAATATTATAAAACATAATACTAAAAACATAGGGGGTGTAGATTCAATAAAGAGTCTAGAGTCTCTTTACCATTTCTCAAAGAAATGGTTTTCATGCCAGACAGGTAGTATAGTAAAGTTTTGATGATACAGAGAACATTTTAATCCATGGGATAATATTGTTTAAAATAGTTCATTATGTGAATACCTTTAAAGGTAACAGATTAATTTATGTTAAATACTGACGTTCTAACATATGATTGGCTTTGAAATTAACTTGGGAGATGAAATCAAATTAATTAAATAAATAATATAATGGAAAATTAAACCCTGGAAGTGATGAAATCTCAGAAGCATGCTTTGAAGTTAATGATGAGGACCATGGGGGCTTGGGGTTCACAAAGGAATGAAAGCAAAGGGGGACAGAGATCGACGTGATAATCTCACAACTCTCTTTGAAATCCAAAACTCCAAACACCATGCCTTCACTGCACGCACTGCAATGGAGATTTTTTGTTTTCTAAGTGCAAGAAGCTCTTGTATTTACCATCAGTTTTAACTCTTTCTCCATGCATTTGCTTTCGCCTTATCTCTCACAAGAAGCAAACAACAACCCCCCATTTTTCTTGAACTTGAATCACATAAATTTCTTAAATTCATCATTTCTTCACTCCCCAAATTGCGTTCTCTATTCGATAAATTAGCAATTGGTGTCACAAAGACAAAAAATGGATTAATCCTAAATATCGAAACTAGCTTCGGACAAGCTCACGAAGAAAAAAATAGCTGACTTCTATTAGTCAAGTTAACTGGAGCAGTATTCTTTCTCTTTGTATCTAAATTCGAATTTCCTACAAATAATTTGGGGTAAGTTATAATTTTGTGTTTGTCAAGAGAGAATAAAAATAATAGAGAAACGAAAGAATTGGTTTTCTCCTTTGGCATGGTGTTTTTGTTGTTCTATTCGACTATTTTTCGTTTTATAGATGATTTTGATGTAATGTTGAAGTTTACCAAAATTTATTTATTTTTATTAAAAAAATGAAAGAATTGACCAAACTCTGTATTTTTGGGCAGATTGAGTAATGTTTTTGGCTTCCTATGCAAATCTCGTCTTGGTTCCAAATCTTTGTGTGATCAAACCAAGAAATATATGAGATTGGAAGTACCACTCAGCGTAGAGGGACAACGGAGTTTGTGAAAGATCATGCATGTTTCTCTCCTTTTGAGTCATGGACCTTTTTTTCTTCTTTTCATCAAAGAAATAATGAGTAGTCATGGATAAAGCTGTTTGATAACCATTTTGTTTTCAGTTTTCATTTTTTTGAAGAGGATTAGTAATGCTATGAATACTAAATTTGTAGGTAAAATTTTATAAACTAAATGATATGGAAGTTAATGATTGGATTATGACTTAATTGTTGATGAACGTGACTATAATAGGACACATCCTTTGATTTGCAAATTTTGTCTTCCTAACGTTACTGTTTTAAAAAAATGAAAACGGCGTACTTTCTTTAGATTCAAAATTTTAGCCTTTGAGTTTTCACTTTTCACTTTTTTGAAAACTGAAAGTAGTTAACAAACTAGATGTTAAATACTTTTAGTTTTCAAAAAAGTGAAAATGAAATGGTTATCAAACGGCACCTAAATTAATTTTTTTTCACAAGCCACATAAGAATTAGATTAGTTGGTCAAATAGTATGCTGTTTTGTTAATCCAAAGTTTGAATCAGCTTCCTTGTAGATAAAAGTAGAATATCCCTTCGTCAAAACGATCTTTTTTCACAAGAGTAAA